TTGTCTTCCGCATGTTCTTCACATTACATGCATGACCTAAAGATTTAGAATGACAGTCTCAGACTTTCAGTTTGCTTATCATACATTCAACTATTATGAACATAAAGAGGACAATTCATAGATATATAAAATAAACAAATCTTTAGTAATTGTCAAAATATCTCAAAGAATATTGTTACATTTATTCCTAAGGGCATAAACGCTAACACTTATCTCCAATGGTTGATCAACATTTGTCCTCCTCATAAATATAAGCTCATCATTACTTCCTTAAGCTTATCTCTTAAGGTTCTCTATAAGGCAGTCAAGATTTATATTGGCTGTAGAGAATTAGCTTAGCCGGCAGGAAATTTTAGTTCCTAATAGTTCATTTTCTACTGTTTATTTATAGTCTGATACTAATCTCCAAATAATTCAAGATCGAATTAAGCTCTTAATCCTGTAATATCTTAGATTGTTCCGGTCTTGAAAACATTTCTAGACTATATAAATTATAATTTTAACTTTTTCTGTACTACATTTCGAGAATGATATCGTTACTGACGGTATCAACTCCCGAGCTCATATTGTATCTATATCTTTTTACTAAAGCATTACCCTTATAATTTCCCTTATCTATTCAGAAATTAAGGATTTTCTCTTTGAATGTCAGAGCGTTTCTCTATATGCTGCTAACATTATATTGCACCAAGAGATTTCTGAGATTAAAATTCTTAAACTGTATATGCACCGAGAATTCTTCCGTCTTAATTGCGGTAAGAATTTATCGACTGAATTTACTTACTCAAAAAATATGAACTAATCATAAACTTTACTACATAATTTAGGAATACTTATATTAATTCCATAAATCCCTTAGTCACAAAATATGTCATGATATTCTTGAGAAAAATCATTAGCTTAAATAAATAAATTTACATTATTTAATTCTAGAATTTTCTCGGTCATTACAGTTAGAGCTTGAATCGATTTTAAGATTTTGGTTTGTTTTCATGAGATTTAGTGGCTACATTGAGGTATTTTACATTCAATTTAATAGATTTTATTGTAAGTTTTTACAATGTCGTGTTAATTTTTTTAGTTCTTAATAGATAAATGTGTTAGCGTTTATGCTCTTAGAAATAAATGTAACAATGTTCTTTAAGGCATTTTAACTATTAATAAAGATTTATTTATTTCATATATCTATGTATTGTCATCGTTATGCTCATATTAATTGAATGTATGATAAGCAAACCGAAAGTCTGAGACTGTCATTCTAAATGTTTAGGTCATCATGTAATGAGAATAACATGCGGAAGACAGGAATATAAAGATGATAGTCTGAAACATATGATCCATAATCGAGGGAATAAAGTTGAGCGCTTTATTCATGTTAAGATTGTTATGTTGTCTACTTCCTAACAGAGACGGCTTGTCTTGGTTGTCGGAGGTAGGACTCCATGGGTAGAGACATTGATATAGTTTGTAATGGTAAAATCTATATTGGATTGGACCAAAGTTGATTTGTTTTAATTAATAATTCTGTTTGAATAAAATAATTCACTTTTGACGAATTATATGTTGTCATCTTAATCTTGAGATTGATAATGAACACGTATGCTTGACTTGTATCTTTTGATGTACCAAAGGGAGACATCCTGATATTATGTAAATGTACGCTTATCGGTACATTGGGGATATGACTCGTGTATGCGTAGATTCGTTATTCATATATAGTGGAATCCATAGCTCTTACAAAAAGTCAATGATATCCTCTTATGCATTATCTGTGATTTGAAAAATACGAGCGCTCGGCTATTAGACTACTCTGTGTTATCTAATGGTTTACTATAGTGGTTTTCTGATGGAGCGGTAATGGTACATAAGATAAATGTAATCGGGAAGGTAAAACGAAACTTGACCTCAAGTCGATTATAGATATCCTATGGGGATGATACACTAATATATTGAGTCATAGACGAGAGCTAATCAGAGCCTTGTAAATGTGTTATATAAATCGAGAGTGCAGCTCTAGGTTTTTAGTGGAGTAGCGCTAGAGTTTTATAATCACGAGACAAACTTGTTAGTTTACAAGTAGCATTGTGATTATAGGAGCTTGATTTATATATGTCCATCGGGTCCATTTGCTAGCTCACATAATTTCCTGTAATGATACAGTGTATTTCCTACATATTGGTAACTTATGTTATTTTCGTAAAAGAGGTTCAAAGTTAATATGAGATTGGTTAATTAATCCATGAGTGATTTATCGGGTGAATTAATTGATAAAGTAATTCTAGATAAATTGTTTGAATTATTATTTTAAGAGTTATTTAATATGAGAAGACTATTATATGACTGTTTTGATCATGCAACTTCTTTATTGAGTTGCTTGAATCAAAATTAAGGCTCTGTGCAAGTTTCCCGTGTTGAAAAACTAGGAAAACAAGTTTCGCTAGTTCAGACAAGTCGACCGGTTCATGAAGGACAGGTCGGCCGGTGAGTTATAACTTCTCTGTCACCGGTAGACCGATTGTAACGTGTAGCGCATGCTGACGTGGTGAAACTGACTCTGTTAGCGAGATAAACTTTGAGAAACCTAATTGTTACGGAAATATGACTTCCTAAACACTACAAATAGGCCATTAAGTCACATTATTCATTATATCACTTGAGAGACTCTTTGGGGGCTATTGGCAAAAGATTCATGAGAGGAAAAATTGTTTAATTCTCAAAAACGATTTTTTCTTTGGCTCTCTTGTGGTTGGAAGGAGTTCAAGAATACCAAGAAGAGATTGAACGATGCGTGCCTACCCGCACTCCGATCGTGGAAACGAGAATAGCAAAGAAGACCAGTTGGTTGAGGCTCTTCCGGTTGCTGTTTGGAACGCTTTGATCTATCAGACGTGTTGTTTCCTAAATCTCTAAAGGTATGATTTAGATCTTTAGTATTTATGTTATATAGCATCATGAACATGTTCTTGATTAGTTTTGACATTGATTTAAATTTTTTAAAATTTTGCTGCGCACTCGATGCCCAATTTTTCAACAAAATGGGTAAAGTAATAACCCTAGATAAGAATTTTCATGTAAAGAACTTTCCTCCTCCTCCTTCACATGGGTTTGAACTTTTTTTTTTTTTGATGAAATAGGTTTGAACCTATTGCTATAGTAAAACCATGACATTGTTTAGAATTTTCTCGCAATTCTCACACTATCTAAATATCAATTTTATGATGTGATGTTTTACAAACACCAATTTAAATTAAAGTTAAAACTCACATAGATTTAGAGTATGTTTATTTAACAACTTAAGTTAAGAACTGTCAAATTATAAAATATAAACATATATATATATATATTTCATTGCAGATTATGAATTATAAAAAATTTACATATTCATATCAAAAGAAAATCAATCCAAAAAATATAAAAAATTATCACTAAGTTATTTATTTTAATACAATCACAACAAAAAATTAATCAAATCGACATCATATATTCTCTAACTAACCAAATCAATTGCTGAGGATTTTTCTAATAAAAAATTAGTCATTGTCACGATCGCAATCTCGAACACTGGCAACGATGATTGGTTCCTTCTGTTCGCGATCTCAAACACCAACGATGACTGGAATGAGACGACACAAAAAAGTGAAGAAAGAGATGATAGTCACCGACGTGGATCAACTAGATTCGTCGACAGAGCTTCGACATAGAGAGAAGTAAGATAGGATTTTTGACAGAGCTTCGTATCGTGAATCTTCTCGCATATGTGTGATCTGGTCTTATCAGTCATTCTCCAGCCACGACAATGACAAATAGAGGCGAATAGAGATGAGAGAGAAGGGAAACGACTCTGACGTGTTCTTACTAGAAAAAAGATAGATGGGCAACTACTCCAGTGCCTGCAGGGATAGCGAGTTAATGGCTGGCAGAGAAGGTTGGATGACGACAGAAAGAGCGCAGAGAGAATGTGAGGTTGCATGAGATGAAAAGAAAATAAAGAGGACCGATAAGAGAAGGGAGACGAGAGATGGGGGAGAAAGATATGATATTTGATGAGAGAGAAAGAAAAATCTACAATTGAATTGGAGTTTTAAGGGCCTTTTGGTCTTTTAAATTCAATTGAAAATGTGAGGGAGGAATCAAATGGGTATTATTTAGTTAAAAGGGTAAAATTTTAGACCAATCATATTTTAAAAGGTAAAATCTATAATTTACTCTTCTATAAAGCTCTACCAAATAAGACTTTAAAGTCCTTTATGATTTTTATTTTATTATGATTTTTATTTTTTTGTGGTACTTTAAAATAAGAATTATTATCACCGGTACTCCTGAATTAGAGTCATTCTTAGTTTGTCTCTTAAATTTTAAAAACTCTCACATTGTACCATGAACTTTAAATTATTCCCACTTAACCCCTTCTGTTGTAATTTTGGATAAAAAAAGGTAGAAAAAAGAAAGCAATGCAGTCACGCAACCCCCGTTTGGTTCATTAGTTTGAATTTTATTGATTTGAACTTTTTGATTTGAACATAAAAATTCCAACTATGCGATTTAAATTGTAGTTTGAATTGACGTTTGAATGTGCAGTTAAAGTTTTAATTTGAACATGAAATAAAATTTAAATTTGTGTTTGGTAGGTGTGGAAAGCAGAGTGGACACCTTTTTACTCTTTAAAAATGGTTTGAACGATTGAACTTGAAGGGAGAGTTAAACTCTAAGTTTGACCGTTCAACTTAGTTCAAACGGGAAAATAGTATTTTTATTTGAATTTTTATTAAAATTAAATGGATAAAAACTACATAGCCACGCTCAAACTACTCTTTTTCTTTCTAATTTTAATAGAAATTCTTATAAAAATGTTTAAATGAGATAAATTCAAAATTTAAGAGTAAAGTGAGAGTTTTCAAAGTTTAAAGGGTAAAATGGAAATTCCCCAAAGTTTAGGGCACTAGTGTGAGTAATCTTAAAATAAAAAGCCATTTCGCGAACCCTACTCTCTATATTACCTCTCGGTGCTCCTCTTTTCCAGTTCTCGTTTCCGCAGCCCTCTTTTCCTTCACTTCTGCTCTGCGCAGCTCAGTCGCCGGTAAGCTCTGATCCGCCCCTATAGCGTATGTTCACACTTTAAGCTTTTCAATATTGTTATTTGTTTGACGTATTGTCTTCTTAATTTTTTTTAAAAATTTAATTTTCGCTAATCGTTAGTTATTTAACGATTTTGGGATTTCAGCTAGTAGACAATGTTTTGGATTTTTTTTAATACTCATAAAACTCGTACTTGTTGAAGGGAAAAAGTTACATAAATGAGTATTCTAATCCGCAGATGCATTTTTTTTTTCTCAGAAGGCAGAACAAATTACATCAATGGCTGTCACGTTCTACGACCTGGGCTCGGCTGCTGGCCTCAAGAAACTCGATGACTACCTGTTAACTCGTAGCTACATCTCTGGGTAAAAGCTTTGTTTAGTCTTAACTCTCAAGGATTAGATTCTTTGTTTCATTTTCACTAAATAATACGGTATTCAAATTAAAATGTACTCATTTGCATATATATATATATATATATATATATATATATTCCTGTGGGCAGATATCAGGCTTCCAAGGATGATATCACGGTGCACGCTGCGCTTTCGAAGGCTTCGTCCGCGGAATATGTGAACGTGTCGCGTTGGTACAACCATATTGAAGCACTTCTGAGGATTTCGTAAGTTCATAACTCGTAAAAACTGTTTGGTTTGCAACTTTAGATGATGTCAATTATTGTTTTCCTGCCCTTTTTTTTTTCATAATTCAGTTTGTTTGCTTTGTGTTTATGTTTTGCTTATTATGTAACGTGTTGCTGTACTTTAGTGGTGTTGCCGGAGAAGGTAGTGGTGTTGTGGTGGAGGGAGCCGCCCCGATCACTGAGGAGGCAGTTGCTACCCCACCCGTGGGTGACTCAAAGGCAAGTATTGCTGCCCCGTTTTTGGCATTTTTGATTTGTTTTGCTTAGAAATTGTAATAACTAGATATAATTAGATGAATATCCAGCATAGTTGGTCATAGTCATTTGATAGCTTATGATATAACTTTCAGGCTTCTGCTGCTGATGAAGATGACGACGACGATGTGGATTTGTTTGGTGAAGAGACTGAAGAGGAGAAGAAGGCTGCAGAAGAACGTGCAGCTGCCGTCAAGGCGTCTGGAAAAAAGAAAGAGAGTGAGTTTGCTGTTTTTGCTTGAGTTTTTTTTTTCTTATATGATTGCCCTTTTCGCAAAGGTTTTAATAGAAGCTTTACTTTGATGTGATTTTCAGGTGGCAAGTCTTCAGTTCTGTTGGATGTGAAACCATGGGACGACGAGACAGACATGAAGAAGCTTGAGGAGTCAGTCAGAGGCGTTCAGATGGAGGGATTGTTTTGGGGAGCTTGTATGTTCATAAAATTTTTTGGCTATTTTGATCCTGCTCGTAGCAAACTCTGATTGTGTTTCTTATTTGGTTTTTTATTTGTTTTGTCCAGCCAAACTTGTACCTGTTGGGTATGGTATAAAGAAATTGCAGATAATGCTCACCATTGTCGACGACCTTGTCTCTGTGGACACTCTTATTGAGGAACATCTCACGGAGGAACCAATTAACGAATATGTGCAGAGTTGTGACATTGTGGCCTTCAACAAAATATGTAAGTCTAATACTTTTAGCTTTTCTGTTCTGTTGTCTCAATAAGAATTTTATTTGTTTGTCTTTTTTTTTTCCTGCAAAAATTGTATCGGTTTTGTTGATTTGTTCCATGTTTCTCGTTGCAGGATTTGAGCTCAGAGAGGTTTATTGTGGGTTGAGGTTGATAGACTTCGAGATCATTATGCATTTTTGTTGTGGCTATTGTTTTGGTTTTTCTTTTACTTATTTTGTTTCCTGGGAATATGTTTGAAGTGTCTTGTCGTCATTGGGGATTTTGTAATCCTAGCAATTTAGATGATGCCTTATTTGGTGCTCTTTTGTCACGAACGTCTTTCTAGTTTTAAAACCTTATTTTAAGTAAAAGCGAATCAGACCATTCCAATTTTGGTATGGTTTTTGTTTATTCATCTATCATATCAATAAGTTGGTTGATCTTGGTTACTTTGCTCTTGTTTCGAATGAAGGATGATGAGTAAAACATAATTTGTGTGGGAACAATTCTTATTCTATGGTCAAATAAGTAGTGAAAGATCGATGTACATAAAACTAAGACTCAAAACGTTCAGAGCCTGTTAAATTTGGTATTGCAAAAACCGCTGTGTTGGTGAATAATAAATAGACATGCGATGGTTAAATATCTTTTCTTTTACCTGTTGTCTTTTTTTTTTTCTCTAATATTTTTTCGCAGTTTATTTTCTTACAATATTATTTTTTAAAATACTGTCTTTTTTCATTTTCTTTTAATTAAAATAATTCTTTTTAAATATCTCACTACTTGCATTTTTTTTTAATCAATATAATTTCTTACAATATTATTTTTTGTTTTGCTATAATTAGTGGACTTAGTTTCTAAGAAGACTACAGGCTTGTTCTTTTGGAGTTTAACTTAAGTATAATTTTTGAGTTAAATTTGAGTTATAACTTGAGTTGAACTTGTAACTTGAGTTTGTGTTTGGTTGTGTACATTTGAGTTATGGTTTGAGATAAGAATTTTTTTGAGTTTGTGGTTGAGTGAGTCAAGACTTGAATTTGTATTTATATAGTATTTTAATAAAAACTCAATGTTGATGAAAAATTTTAATATGATATATGGGTCGGGTTTTATTCGTCTTTTCATTGTCAACGCATAGAAAAAAAAATCATCTCAATCAGAATTAAAACAAAAAAATTATAGCATTTTTAACAATAGAAAAAATATTGTTCATTAATTTGAGTTTGAGTTTCTAAACTCCAGTTGAAAGGAAAACTTAAACTTGAATTTTAATCTTAAACTCGAGTTTGAACTCGAGTTTAAACTTAAAAGAACATGAATTCAAATAAATTTGTAACTTGAGTTGCTTTTTTTTTTTTTTAATTTTTCACTCAAAAGAACAAGCCCTACATATTTTGATGTGGTGTCAAACTCATATATTAGGAAATGTGCTGACTTACGTAGTGACATTTTCATCCATTTTAGGTGAAGAAAATGTGACAAATTTCTCACATTTTATTTTATTTTGTTTTATTTTTTATTTTTTAGTAACAACCTGCAAAAATCGTTTTCACAACTCAAATTATAATTTAAATTTTTTTATATTTTTATATGAAAAAAAATACTAACAAAAAAGTTGAATTGTAGAATTATAGCAAAAGAATTTAATTGTGATTTGAGTTATGAAAAGAACAAAAAGCATTGCCATGTCATGAACCATTTTCACCCCAATCAGAAGGCCAACCATGCACTGTATGAAAACTCACGAATGATAACTCAATGCCAATTCAAGGAAACCCGAGACAAGACGAGTATGTCTTAGGACTCCAATTTATTACCAAGGAAATGTTCAGACATAATCTGTTCTCTTAAGCATCAACAATTTCTCAAATACTATTGATTTTCTTGCATAATTCGCTCACAGTTACTCAATCCAACTAATGAAGATAAGCACGCTGAAGAAACAGAAAAATTTTAACACAAACCATTGATTTTTCGGTCCGCACAAGATTTTCCAACTCATAAAAGAACTACCATTGAAGTCTCAGAAAACTTGAAGCAAAAAGCCCTAGAATGCAAAAGAAAAAAAAAAAGAAGTCCCAGAGAACAAGCTTGAGGTTTATAAAAACACAAAATTGAAGCAAGAAAGTTTTTCCAAGGTGAACTCAGGATTCCAACTAGTACACCCCTTCACTCAAGAAGAAGCACCGCTGCGTAAAGCTCGACCCTTTTCCGGTTTCCTAGAAGCCAATTGACTCTCGGGCTGCACGATAATTACCAAACAATTTAGATGCAGCTACAAAATCCAACAGATAAGTTTTCAGGAAATAATGCTATTGAACTTTAAGAATTACCTCTTTCTTGACAGGCTCTTCCTTTTCTGACAAAATCAACTCAATGTGGCATGGGGATGACATGTAAGCTGCCAATGAAATTTAGAAGGTCAATTACTATTAAGTTAAAAATCTTTTTAAACTCAAAGTAATTCAGCAATAGACAAGCACTCACGATTTATTCTTCCATGAGCACGGTATGTACGACGCCTTTGCTTTTGCGCCTGATTCACTTGGATGTGAGATATGTAAAGTGAATCCACATCCAATCCTTTCACCTAGAGAAAATGTTAACAAAATACACAATGGTTAGTTAACCTGATAAGATTAAATACGATAAGCAAAACAGGATAATGCCCACCTCAGCGTTACTCTCAGCATTCTTCAGTAAGTCCAGGATAAACCTCGCAGATTTAACAGGCCAGCGCCCTTGTCCATTTGAGTGGCGATTCTTAGCCTGTGCAGTTCTCCCTACTCCACGACAAAAGCGACGGAACGGAATGGCTTGCTTGTGAGCCAAAACGTCCTCCAAGTAGCTTTTAGCCTTGGCCAGAGCCAACTTGCGAATAGCAAAAGCTGTCTCTCTTGTATTCTGAAGGGATAATTACAAGCGGTGGGAGACATATGAGATGAACTTAACAAGAAGAAATAGAGAAAATTAACGTATGGTATTAACATATTTCCCGAATGTTTCATCAGCCACTCTAGAGCGGATCATAAATGAATAATGTCAGTTCAAAAGAAGTCCAATCATGCAATGGAAAAAGCCTCCGAAAAGGATCTTAATAGTTAATACATGCAGAACTATCAACTATTTACTTTAGAAATAACATTAACACCATATCTTCTTCTGATGTATTCTAACACTTAATGCATTGCACATTGACAACATTTCAGAATATCCCACGGAAATTCACTACCGTTGACCATTGCTAAATTACTCAAGAACAGCCTACTCAAAAATCGATATACCAAAATTCTGATATCAAAATTCCATCACATAATGAGGGTAATATTTGAACGGAGATTGAAGAAGAGGCATAAACAATGAATTAATTTAATTTGGTCACAATTTAAGTTTATATATTATAAAAACAAATGAGAATTCACCAAGTCGAATGGACATACCTTAAAATGAACTCGGAGATCGGATCCCCTGGCTTTGCAGGCTGAATTCCAATAACAAAAAATTTACACAAAAATAAGTTTCTTACATTTGTCCCTAAAAATAAAAGAATTGATCCAAACTTCCTGAGAAAAACTTCGAAAAAAAATGAGAATTTTAAATAATGCCCCTTCCTAGTTTCGAATCAACAAACCCTAAAAAATAAAAAAGCAAATTTAGGTCGCCAAAGAAAAGTTCCAGAGGAGAAAATCTTCGATCTTTTTAATTCATAACCAAAAAAAAAAAAAAAAAAAATAGCGATTACTTACACTTAGTAGGGTTATCCGGCTCTCTCGAATACTTCACCTGAAATTCAAAAACAAGTTCACTTAATTAAAATCCAATTCAAAGAACCGGAAAAAGTTCGAATTTTGCGAACGTTTTCTCTTTACACAAAGCAATTTTTAGCTCAATTTAGCTTCTTAAACAACAAAATTCAATTCCACTCAAATTCAGAACAACTCACCATGGCTGATCTTACCGCTTCCGCCTAAGCTTTTTCCCTCACTAAATCCCTAGGAAAATTTTAGGGCTTCTGAGATATATGGAAGAGAGAGAGAGATTAATCGAAAGAAACCCTCGGAGCTGGCTAGGGTTTACTGGTTGATTTGGACTTTCAGCTTGTATTCGGCCCAAAATAAATTGGGCTGGGCTTTAAAAAAAACTGGGCTGGGCTTAATTTTTATGTATAGTATTATTGTCAAGTAAACCCGTCAAAAACGACAGCGTTTCGCTCTTAGGGGCAAAATTGTAACTTCGGGAACTCCATAAAACGGCGGAGATAAAGGAGGAGAGACAGGTTCAGTTGGGTCCATGGCCGATCTCAAAGCAGAGGGAACGAATTAGCAGAAAAGACTGGACTAGTAAGATTTTCAATAAATTTATTATATTATCATGGTTATATAATAGTGTATATTCATTTTCGTTTTTGTTTATATTTTTTAAATTGTTTGTTTCTATATCCTTTTTATAATTCGTCGTTCGCTCTTTCAATTTCCGCTGGGGAGATTTTTTCAATTCTGATAAATTCGAAGCAGAAATTTAATTTTTTTCGTCTTTTAACGTCCATTGTGTGATTTGGAGTTCTGGGCTTGTCTCTGAATAGGATTTCGGTACTTCTTCTGAAGCCATTAATCAAGCTTTGTGGAAATTCTTGTTTGGAAATTTTCAAGTTTTCAGAAGAATTGGAACCTGTTTTAGTACACATAATCAAGAAATTTTTGAGCAAGAGGAAGAGAAAAAGACCCAAGTTCGGGTTTGTTTTTGGTTTTGGGAACCGAAATTAAGCGGGTTTTGGGTTTTTATGATATAGTTTGGTTTTGCAGATTGTGATTTTTTTGGATTATTTGAAAGAAGTTTATGATCAAGGGAGGCCCAAGATTGAATTTTGGTTTTTTGGTTTGGAAACGTAGAAGATTCTGAGTGGTTTCAACTAGGTTCATGATTTTTTTGACGGAATAGATTGGGATTAAAGATTGAACAATGTCAATGAACAATAACAATCAGGTCAAGAATGTTGGGGCCCCACCACATTTTGGTAATTCAGGGATGGTTCCACAATCTATGCCTTTGAATCACCAGCCCCATCTTCTTTCTCAAGCACAACCTCAAACACAAAGTGGGTCTCATTTTCCCGGCCATTTTCAGTTGTCCGAGCCTCAAGCGCAGGCGCTTGCTCAGTCTCAGTTTGTGAACGCCCACGCACAAGCGCAGGCTCATGCAGCGCACACCCAATTCCAATCTCAGTTGCAGGCTCAAGCGCAGTCGCTCGCCCATTTGCACAGTGCCAACGCTGGTAATGCTGGTGTGTCATCACCTCCTGTGGCGACGCCGGGCACGGGAAGTACCAAGAGAGCTAACCAGAAACCACCTTCTCGGCCACCAAGTTCATCCAATGCCAATACGAGTTTGCCGTTTAAGACCATGGAGCTGACCCCGGCTGCTCGTAGAAAGAAGCGTAAACTACCTGATAAACAGATACCGGATAAGATTGCATCACTTTTGCCTGAATCTGCCCTTTATACTCAGTTGCTTGAATTTGAGGCCCGTATTGATACTGCTTTGGCGAGGAAGAAGATTGCCATCCAGGAGTCCTTTAAAATCTCTCCCCGTTTCCAGAAAACGCTAAGGATTTACGTATTCAACACCTTTGCAAATCAGACACAAAATACATCCGAAAACAAGAATGCAGAACCCCCTACTTGGTCGCTTAAGATAGTTGGGAGGCTCTTGGAAGACGGAAAAGATCCTCTGGTTTCTGGAATGACACCTAAGTATAGCACCAAGTTCTCATCTTTTTTCAAGAAAATTACTATATACTTGGACCAAAATCTTTATCCAGATAACCATGTGATTCTGTGGGAAAGTTCTCGTTCACCAGTTCTTCATGACGGCTTTGAGGCGAAGCGAAAAGGGGATAAAGAGTTTTCTGCAATGATAAGGCTGGAAATGAATTATGTGCCAGAAAAATTTAAACTTTCCCAAGCGCTGAGTGAAGTTCTTGGAATCGAGGCAGATACCAGCACTAGAGTCATAGCTGCGATTTGGCACTATGTTAAAGCTAGGAAGTTGCAGATCCCTAGTGACCCTACTTCTTTCATGTGTGATCCTCCTCTTCAGAAAGTTTTTGGGGAAGAGAAAATGAAATTTACCATGGTTTCAGGCAAGTTAGCACAGCATTTAAGTCCGCCGCAGCCTATACATCTGGAGCATAAAATTAAGCTTTCAGGAAACTGTCCAGCGGGAACTACCTGCTATGATGTTCTGGTTGATGTGCCTCTTCCTCTGGAGAAGGAAATGTCTTCATTCTTGGGAAATACCGATAAGAATAAGGAAATTGATGCTTGTGACGAATTGATTGCTACATCAATTAAGAGGATCCATGAACACCGGAGACGGCGGGCTTTCTTTCTTGGTTTTAGTCAGTCTCCGGCGGAGTTTATTAATACGTTGATTGCTTCTCAGAGTAAAGACTTGAAGCTTGTTGCTGGAGACGCTAGTAGAAACACAGAAAAGGAGCGCCGTTCTGATTTCTATAATCAACCATGGTAAGCTTCTATTCTCTATATTTCCATTAGCTAATTGTCGGTATTATTACTTCCACCTGCAATTGATTGTTGAAAATGGTTTGCCTATTGATGTATAGTTTTTATTTATTTATTTATTTTTTTTATTGTGGACTGGAGAAATGAAATTGAGTTTGAAAATTAGATTTTGTTGCAACTTGCACACTCATGATTCACATGCACTAAGCAGTTCCCACATCGATGAATGATGACATCTCACTTGAATCGACCATTTAGGCCTCGTTCACTTCGCGGATTCGAGTTTTCAATTCGAGCTGAGATGTGACATTTTCTGAGAGCTTTTCACTGTAATAAAAAAAGTTAGATGTGACATTTTCTGAGAGTTTTTTACTGTAGAAACCTATAACTGAAAACTTGAATCGGTGAAATGAACGAGGCCTTAGTTTTCCTCTAGTTACTAAGTAAAATTCCCATTACCTATTTAAGAACGCATTAATGCTGAGTGAGTTAAAACATTGGTTCTGTTGCATACCAAGAATCATGTAGAGCATGTTTGGTAAGGGGGTTCAAACCCCGGTTCAAATGGTTCTCACAAAAATTTGAATTTAACCCTTGAACCAAACGGCCGTAGATTCAAAAAAGGGGGGGTATTTTTGAGCCCCTGTACTTGTGATGTGTCTCTGTATGGAGTCATTTTTACAACCGAGATAGGTTTTTCTTTAGCCCCAAAATTCATCAAACCCGCTCAGTGGACTCGAGTTATTTGGAAGCCTTAAAACTCTTTTATTCACCAAGTAGGCGGCCCTGAGGAACTTAATCAAAATCATGTGGAAACAAACCACAGGCCTGACTACTCAACCAGGAGTGTTACCATCATGGAGTGTCTCCATTGATACTTTTTTTTTTCCCTTCAATATCCCACCGTAGAATTCTCATATTACTATGTTATTTTCTCGATTTGAATTTGTTTCTCTTGTGGCATAAATTAACAGGGTTGAAGATGCCGTAATTCGTTACCTGAACAGAAAAACTGCTGGAAGTGATGCTCCTGGGAGCACTTGAATGAAGGGATTATTGAATTGTCAGTAGCTGACAGGCTTGTAGGGTTGTACTCCATCATTAACATCCTTTTTGTTTGGTTTCTTCTTGGTACCTTTCCCATCTTGATTTCAGCATTATAAGCTCCTCTTTTTTTGTTTTTTTTGGAACATATGCGTCTGGTTGGTAGATTCGTACCATGATTTGAATTATGATTCGTGGTTCGTTACAGTATTTTTTCTCATAAAAAACACACATAAATCGAGAATGATTCTGAATCTATAAACCAAACGTTTAGTCATCAGGAGAGGAAAAGAGATACATATTTCTGACTTTTGCTTAGTTCTAGTTAGATTTATTGATTTAATAGACAAAATCATTCAAACCATTTCTCTATTTCAGCAAACGCTGGTTTGTGAGCTTCATCAATGTTGAGCCAGGATTCATTTTGTCCTTGCTATTTGAAGATTGATCCATATTAAATCTTTTTTGCTTGAGAAAAAAAAATTAAAAGAAAAATCTAAAGGGTGTGTTTGGACTTTGGAGGACAGGATTAAAAATCAGAGTGGATAATAAATTCCAATTGTTTGTTTTCTTTCTTTTTTAGACATAATTTTTGTTATTCTCTAGTAAATGTTAAACCTTATTTATAGGGTTATCCATGACTCAATCTAAGGCCCGTTCATTTCACCGATTTGAGTTTAGAATTCGAATTTTGTTACAGTAAAAAACTATTAGAAACAGTCACATTTAACTTTTTGTTACAGTAAAAAATTTTCACATAAAGTCACATCTCAACTCGAATTAAAAACTTAAATCAACAAATTAAATGAGTTTTAAATAGATGCATAAAATTGAGTTTGTAAAGGGAAAATGAGACAAATACCTTAGAATATATGAGTTTAGATTTTTAGATTTTATTTTTAATTAATATTCTTTTAGTGAAATAATTATATTAGTAAAAAATGTATTAATCAATAGTAAAAAATAAAAAACTAAACTCGTACATTTCAGAATAAGTTTAGCAATTTTGTTGTTTGTACAAAAGCCCGGTTTGATACACTTATATTCAACGTTTTATACCTACAAAGTTAAAACTTTTATGAAAGCAGACAATAAATAAATAAATAAGCAAGTATACACGAGGCCACGTATATAGCACGTGCTACCTTATTCAAATCATAGGGAGTTAAAACTGAAGCAGATATCAAGCAATAATGTTGCATTAGAACACAGATTGGCATGTGGTCGTCTAGTTACTTTGCTTGGTCAAAAGCAGAAAACCATTTATCTTTTGGTTATGTGCTGTTCTCTACTAATATTGAGATCTTGTACTATATATATATATATATATATATATATTGTTTTTTTGTGAATTGTAGAGTAAGACACATTTTCAGCTTATCTTTGTGTAAACAACTCTTTCTAGTTTGTAGCTTATTTTATTAATATTTATCTCTCTTTCTATGCATACGTGTCTGATTGTCTCCATCAGTTGGTCGTTAAGAATAGATGTCTTGAGCTTATCTTTGGGGGTACTTCACAATCCATAAATTCCTTTCTATCCAAGTGCAAATCCTTCCCTTTTTATTTCTCCATTACGCGATCAATGTGTTTTGCAAACAAAATTTGTTTGTTTGTTTGTTTTTTTTTTTTTTTTCCTGAAGTTGTAAACAGAAGTTGATAAATAGTTCTCTCTGTATTCCTCCTCTTCTATACGTAATTAGTGCTATTCTTTGTCATTTAACCACTGGGGCTATAGATAGATGGAAGGGGCAAAATTTCTCATGTTTGGTACTTTGTTATTGAAGTGTAGTAGTACATAAGGGATGTAACACAGCGCATAATGACATTTTAATAACAACTTTTTTTTTTTTAATAGAAAATCGTTTCATAAAGCCAAAGAGAGAAAAATAAACAAATTAAGGGCATGCACAAACAAATTAAGGCAGCCCCAGCCGAAGCCAAAAGAAGCAAACCAACTTGCTTAAATAGAAGCAAAAAGAGAAAATTGACCAAGAGGAATACGAACATCCCTCAACAAACAAGCAGGGGCTGAAAGAGTCCAACATCTCAATCTATTAGCAACGACATTGTCGATCCTCCCGACTCAATTGAAAGAGAAGTGAGAACGAAAATCTTAACCACAAAACAACCACCCGGTCCTTTACGAGGTCCATAGGGCACACACACTTGCGAAAGTCTCCTTCAAAGACCGGCTTGGAAACTTGTAGCCAACTGGACCGCCATAAGGGTTGCCAAGGCTTCCACCCATCACAAACGAAATCGATGAATGCACCTGCACCTCATCCCCAGGACGATCTTGCCGCCGGACATGGCCAAAGAATTAGCATTATAAGACCAAAAGGGTCATCAAAGCTACGGCCTCACCAACATGCCAAACTCTTATGTGACAAGCAATTTGTCACTTGACAAGGAAAATGGAGGGAACTAATTATCAAATCATATGCTTCACAATTAAGCCTGTATGATGCACATTATTATTTATTAAACTATAGCCTAGAGAGATAAGAGACAAAAAATTAGTAATATTAATGAGTAAAATATTTATCCTTGATATTTGTAAAATATTTTATATGTTTTGTAGCGTTAAATTGCATAATACGGTCTAATACATTGATTTTTATCCATATTGAATATCACAATACTATGTATTGTATCAAATTTGAATTTCGTATTAAATTATACAATGTATGAAATGTTGTCAAACACTATATTACTCTTAAATAATACAATACGGAGTGCGCTTATACTGTGTACCAAACATGCCCTGATTTTATAGATGTTCAATTAAATATGAAACAGTATTAAAGATGTGTACCAAACATGCCCTGATTTTATAGATGTTCAATTAAATATGAAACAGTATTAAAGATTGTTGTTCCCTAGCTGGACTTGAAAACAAAGGGGATGACACTCTAATAATGAAACTTTCCATGGCAAGTTGTCTTATCACATTGGTATTTTTCTTGTATGAGTTTATTCCCAAAGTGAAACATTTTACCAAACTGGGATCCTACATGGTCTTTGTAGTTCTTGTCTTTTCAACTTCACTTTTTACCGACGAGCTTACGTAGACGTTTTGTTTGGGAGTGTCAATATTATCAACTTGTTGGCCAACATAGAAGAAAAGGTACAAAATTTGAAATACGGATCTTGTCTTTCCAAATAATAGAAAAGTTCAAAACTTCTGGACACAATAAATGAAAAATGATTAGGCATACTACTGAGATTCTAATTTTTTTCCTCTATAGAATGTAATTTTTTTTTTCCAAAGAAATTATATATTTGTGCTCCCAATAAATAAAGTAAAATTTTATATTATATCTCACAAATAATTTTATTTGTGTCCCCTAAATACACTATATCGCTATATCCTCATCTACTTACTTTCTTGTCTGCTTCTGCATATAATATATATTGCACAAATTTTGGTATCTTCTAGCTTGAACTTGAAGTCAATCCATCAATTTTCATTTTGAGGACGTTTGGTTCATAGATTTAGAACTATTTTTTATTTACGTGTATATTTTATGAGAAAAAACACTATAACAAACTACGAATCATGATATGAACCATGCCATGAGTCTTTGCTCCAAACGCAACCTTTGTGTTTTATTAGGTATATAAATAACTAGAGTTAGTACCTATCTCAGACAAATTTCTAGGGTTCTAATTATTCTTTTACTCCTATTTAACTTGGAGGGCATAAGAACATTCATAAAAAAAACCTATATATGCACATATGATCATCTTCAAAAAGAGTGATTAATTTCTGACTAGATTAATGTCAAATATCTTTTAAATACTTTTTTCAATTAAACAAGTATGAAAAGATGTTATATATATGTCAATCCCCCAAATATGGGTTAGTGAAGTGGAGGCTTGTTTAGAAATTTAAACTTGTTTAAGAAAGTGATTAACAAATAACAGTGTAAAATTTTAAATTTCAAATCTAAAACATCCAGATATTTCCAAACAAACCCCACTAATTATGAAAAATTCAGTTGCAAGAAGGGTGGTGAAATTTCCAACCAAACCAGTTCAAAACCTCACTTCTGGTATCATGCCAAGAATTTTCACAAGTTTAACATACATAAATTGTAAACTCAAATATTACTAGACTGTAATTGATCTCAACATTTACTAAGATGTTATATATATCTTAATTACTACTTGTTTAGAAGAGGTTGCGCTTTTATTTTTAAACAATCGAAGAAGAGAAGGAGCAATATCATAGAATTTATTTATACGTGCTAATAAAATCTTTGGATATCGGCCCCGTTCACTTCGCTGATTCAAGTTTAAAATTTGAGTTTTTCTACAGTAAAAAACTCTCACAAACAATCACATCTAACTTTTTTGTTACAGTAAAAAACACTCACATAAAATCACATCTCAACTCGAATTCTAAATTCAAATCAACGAAGTGAACGAGACCTAATAGAGTTCTGCGATTGGATCTTACCATCATTATCAAGAATGTTTCATCATAATTACCATTAACCCGCGTATACAAATATATCTAAAGCTGGCATTTTATACCATCTTAATCTTAATTTACAAATGAGGAGGGCATTTTCAACTTTCAGCAAAAACAAGAAATTACAAAAAGTAGTTGCTTCTATGCACACGCACGCCGCACGCACATTAATTACGTTACATTAATAGTATGGCAATATATCTACTCAGTAACCACATTAAGCGATCACATCATAATTAAGATGATATTTTATAACATTAATCAACTATTAGTCGCATCTCCTCCGAACCAAAACCTTCAAGCCACCAGCCATGTGAGCCGTCAAGAGAGGGACAAAAACCGGCCTGTTCAAACTGACCGGTCGAATCTCGAACCGGCTCAGCACAGAAGCCACCACGTACTTCATTTGAGTAAAAGCCATTTCCTTCCCAAGACACACTCTCGGACCGGCTTGAAAAATCGGAAACTTGAACGGGCTAACCGGTTCCAAAAACCGGCTCCCGTAGTCCCCATCCGGTTCGCCGAACCACCGGTCCGGTCTAAACTCCAAACAGTCCTTTCCCCACACCTCTTCCATCCTCCCCATTCCGTACGGGAAATACGTCACCCTATCCCCTCTCCTTACCGCCGTCCCATCCGGCAAAACGTCGTCGTTTCCGGCGTGCTTCGAGTCCCACGGCACCGGCGGGTAAAGCCTCATGGCCTCACACAAACATGCTTTCACAAAACTCATACTCTGCAAAGCGTCATAATTCAACACATTGTCACCGTTATTCATGACGCTTTTCACTTCCTCAACGACGTCGTTTTCAACCCGGGGATTCTCGGAGAGCAACCAAAAGAGCCACGTCATTGCCGCCGACGTGGTGTCACGTCCGGCCATTATGAAGCTTATCACCATGTCCCTCACCACCTCCTCCTCGTGGCCCGCCATCAACAACCTCGTCAGCAAATCTCCACCGCACGATGATCTGACTTCACGATCATGATCATGATCGTGAAGGGCTTTTCTCTTGTTCTTGATGATCTCCGCAACAGAATTGTGAATAAGCTTGATCTCTTCTCTGAGAACCTTTTCAGACCCGAACCCCAACGCGCGCTTCACCTTCCAGACGAGGAACACCGGCGCCGTCCCTCGCTTGGCGCTGATCTCCGCGGCGCGGTCAAACGCGTTGACCAGGCGTGAAAGGTCAAAACGACACGAATCAATGCCCAGTGACACCTTGCAAATGACATCAAAAGCGAACCTCCGCAGCACCTCTTGCAAGTCCACAACGGTTTCCTTCTCGCAAGCCTCCTCCAACAGTGGAAGCAGCTTCTCCTTTGTCTCCTGCTTGAGCGCCATCACTACGAACTCCCGCAGAGACCTGAATATTGTCGGGACCATAAATTTTTTTCAGTAATTAGGAAACCATTAGGTAAAAGTAAAAGATTTTTTTTTTATTAAATAATATGACTGCCGTGAAGATGACAAAGCTAGAAAGATTTTTCAGTAGAAAAGTATAAAAGAAATAAAAACTACGGATACAAAAAGTTAGAATGTAAATTTTTACTAGAGTAAACGTTATCTGTGATTCGGAACTGGTGAAATAATGGGACCGAGTTTTTCTTATAACCGAAGAAACAACTAAAAAATTAGAAAATTTTCAAAATGTGAGTGGGAGATCACCTGGTGGTGAACTCATGGCTGGCGAGCTTCCTCTGAGAGGACCAGAGCTCGCCGTCGACGTTGAAGATTCCGAGACCGAGGAGGTCGCCGAGGATGTCGGTGAAGGGTTTGCCCTTGGGGAAGTTGTGGAAGTTGGTCTTGAGGACGTACTCAACGTTGGTCCGGTTGGCGGTTACAACCGTCCTGGGTGCGCCGAGGCGGTGAACGACAATGGTTTGGGAAAATGACGAGGAAAGGAGGTCGGTGTACCAGTCAAGCAGACGGTGGCGGTTTCTGTGGAAGGAGATAAGGCATTTGAGCTTGGTGTAGTTTGTTAGAGAGAGAAGGAGTACCATCAGGAGAAAGAGAGAGAACGTGATCATGATGATCAACATGATATGTAATATTACAAGTGTTGTGTAATGAGAGAATTTGTGTGTGGAAGAAGAGAAAGGTGAGGGGGGTATTTATTGTTGTGTTGTGACTGTGGAGTGAACGTAGTAATATACGTGTTAGTTTTGTTTGGTTCTGCGCGGAGAAAAATACCGGCTGAGGATGTCTTAGGGCTTTATGAGCAAAAATCGATAAAAAAAATTGGAAAAGGACAAATTTAGACAAAAAGATTATAAGGCACGTATGCGCGGAGAAAAATACCGGCTGAGGATGTCTTAGGGCTTTATGAGCAAAAATCGATAAAAAAAAATTGGAAAAGGACAAATTTAGACAAAAAGATTATAAGGCACGTGGTTCTCGAGCTTAAAAAGTTAGCTGCTTCTTTTTTTCTTTTTCTTTTTTTTTTAATCAAAAGCTCGCAATTAAGAGTGTGTTTAGTTAGTGGATTCGTGCTATGATTCAGATCATAATTTATAATTTATTACAGTATTTTTTCTCATAAAAAATATACATAAATTAAAAATAATTTTAAATCTATCAACCAAACGTCTTCTAAATCTCGTTAGAGATGAATTTTTAACTTCCAGAAACCCTAGTTTAGTAGTTTGCAGTCTACGCTCAAGATGTCTACTCCTTACTCCAATTGCAACTAAATGCTCGGCAGTAGTAGTAATAAATAATAATAATAATAATAAATAGTAAATTTTTAAAATTAAATTAAATAAATAGTAAATTTTAAAAATATTTAATGTAAATAATATTTGTTATATAAATGTTTTATTGACGATTGGTAAGAAATAATTTACGTGGTAAGATATCTTTATTTAAGTGAAAAAATATTTTTTTAAGAGTAGTAACAAGAAAATTTAAGTGAAAACAAATTTTTTTACAGTTGTTATACCGTAAACTGCTATTTACTTAATTTAGTTTTAAAAATCTGTTATTTATTATATTTTCCCTAATAATATATCCAACTAATGTAACATCTGTTTCGTTCACCGGTTGAAACAATGTTGATTTATAATTTTTATTTGAATTTAAAATTTTAATTGTGTAGTTTAAATTATAATTTGAATTGACGTTTAATTGTGTTTAGATAGGTGTGGAAAATAGAGAAAATGAGCGTACTCTTACAGTTCAAAAATGGTTTGGAAAGTTGAATTGAAGGAGGGACTAAACTTTAAATTGGATAGTTCATATTTAGTTTGAATAGGGAATAAAATCTAAAGTTCTAAATTATATATATGCTTACAAAATATGAATTTAAACTTGGTTCACCACTTGACAGAAAAATCCAGTTCGAATTAGTGACAAATCAGGGGTAATTTATAGATTTTTTGAAGAATTATTTGTCTTTAAAAACAAAAACAAAAGAACAGTTTGTCATGGGAATGATGTGGTAGAGTTAATTAAAAAGATAATCTATCAAAACTACACAAATATAGACTATTAGATCATAATAATTTACATCAAAATGAAGGGAAAAAAAAACAAAAACGAAAACAAATTTAGTAGAAGCTAATATAAAAATAAGGAGTTTCTCTAGTAGAATTGGAAAAAATAAACCACTAGTGGTTTTCTTCTTTTTAATTGTTAAATATGTATTAGACACTATTTGTTATGCCTACTTTTTCAATCTAATGTGATTTTTACCAAATTCAACGATAAAAACTAACTCTACTGGTAAGCCGGTCTATCGGAGAAGGTCTCATAAAAATTTTAAAAAAATGTCTTTTAAGGATAAAAAATTAGGGAGTTTCTCTGCTAGGCCTCCATATTGGTAGAACTTGATTTCTGACCGTTATATTTGGTCAAAATCACATTAGAATAAAAAAATATGAATAACAAATACATATTTGACAGTTAAAAAGTACATAATTATATATGGTAATTTATTTTTCTGGTACTATTAGAGAAACTCTTAAAAATTAAATCCATGAAAGAATTCTCTTTTTTGAAAAAATAATAGAGAGTTTCTCTTATAGAACAAAAAAAAATTATCGATAATTCTTTATTTTTCAACCGTTATATCCGTATTAAAAATTGTCTATTATATATATATATATTTAATTTGATACGATTTTAAACAGATCTAATAGTGAAAAATATATCTTAAAAAATGTCTACTAGAAAATTCTAAAATAATAATGAAAAACAAAATATCTCACGGAAGAAAGTCCCAAAATAGTAAAAAAATAAATAAAATAAAAGTATATATCTTAAGGTGTTGTAACTTGTAAGAACACACTTTACCACAAAAATTGTTCCTTTTCTTTTCCTCTT